CAAGTCAGTATAGAGTGAGTGGACAATGGAGGCGAGGGGATGAGATAAAGTAGAAAAACGTGCACTTTAATTAGAAAGCAATGACGAGAAAAGTAGAAGACAGCGAATTTTCCTCATCAGTTTTTCAAAGTCAGGGAAAAGTTAATGAAAACATCCATGTAGTTGATTAGTGGGGTATTATTATCTGCATAATCGCAAATGCGATTCTTTACAGCTCGAGAAAGTACTGCAAGCTTGTGAGATCATAGACGCTTCGGAACCGTACACAAGCTGCGCAGCTCGTGATGAGAGAACGCGAGAAAAGTTGGCTGCAGCCGCAGCGGACTTTTGTGATAGGCTAGGTAAGAGTCTAATCGAAGATTCTCAGCCGTTCAAATAGAAATACTGAGTCACGCTGTTTTCAGGCTCATTTCGAATGCCCCTCGGATTTATGGTCCTTGATCTGCAGAAAGTTCTAACCGGTGTGAATACTTTGGAGCGATCAGAAATGTGCATGTCGACGGTGACCGCGGGATCTTCTAACGCAACAGGAGGTTGAAACACTTCATAAGATTCATCCGTTTTTTTTTTTGTTTCTTACAGATTTTCTCGCCTACACCTAAATAGTTTCAAATTCGTTAGCTCATCCTAAAAATTATTTGCAGGTGAAGCAGTTGCCCCTTTGGCTGAAACTGACAGCATAGTAAGTGCTGATCGCGTTTCAAATACTTCTACTTCGACGTTCCGACGGATGGGAAGTGGATCTTCGGCGGCTGCTGTGCTGAGTCGCGTGCGTACTCCGCTCCAGCGTAGGAAGTTCTTAGGAGGGGGAGGAGGTTGGTATAAAGTACGATAACTACGTATCTTTCCCCAACTATGTCATTCTAGGAAGTGATGATGCTACCACGCCTGAGGGCTCTTCTGCGGGGAAATCTTTAGAAACGAACTTGGCTAATCTCCAACCTATCACGCTTACCGTGAATTCCTTTTTTCGACAGGTCCCTATTGCTCACACTGTGCAGTTTACTGATGAAAAGCATCAGAGGAGCTTCAGCAGTTTCGTATTGCAGGAGGCAGATAGGTTAAGTGACGAAGATTTGTACAAGCTGTTGGCTGATGCTCGACGTCCCGGTGGTAAACTCTCGCGTTTGAAAACATTTACAGCAGATATGGCGCTGCAGTTATCCGGCAAGTCAAAGATTACCCATTACTCATTTGTTTACGGAAGATTAATTTACTTCTAGTCTAACTCTTAGTTATTAATCTGCAATCTTACTTATTATGAGGAATCCTGAGAGATTAATTGTTATGCCATGAGTTGAACACTAACTACCTCGCTATTCCCAGCTGAACCATAACTTTATGATGAAGCTAGGGGTGGAAATAATCCCTGTGGATCTATTTTGTGCGAGTAAACCTATTTTTTTACCCACTACTACTAAACACTATCCATTTAGGTGGTACTGGTGAAGAGCTGTTGATGCGGCTCAGCCCGGAAATGTTGCGTGTGGCCCCCTTTAGTGGAGGACCCGGCACTGAGCTCACGAAGGACATTCAAGAGTTTCCCGCGAAAGGTTTCTACATGGCGAACACGAGCTATCGGTAAGCGTTTACTCGGCCGATTTAAACATCTTTTTTTGCACGTAGGGCATTTCATTTTGAGTCCCTTGCTCGCGCTACCCTTCCTATCGCTCATTGAGAAGCTGGCTGTCTTTGTTCGTAAATTTATTCTTTTGAGCTTATCTTGACAAATGAAATTAGCTCCCTACCGACGAGTTTAACGCAGGTTTTACTATTTTTTAAATGAAATGTTTTAGAAACTTGTTGTACATATACCCAAAGTCAGCCAATCTTACTAATCGGCCGGGCACGGCTCGCAACATTTCGATCAAAGTGGAGCTTATGAACGCGCAGGAACAACCCTTGCGAGTGCTGTACGCTAGAGGTGCAGGCTCCGAAATGGTCTCGTTAGCAAGAACTGCTGTAATTTATCATAACAAGTGAGTCAAAATCAATATTTTTCCGTTAGGTTACTTTGAATTCAACTTGAACTATTTTTCTCTCTGCAGGACACCTCATATCACTGATGAGATTAAACTTCGCATTCCGGTGGATTTAGACGACGGGCATCATTTACTGTTTACTTTTTATCATATTTCTTGCAAGGCAAATAATAAGGATGAAGAAACTGAATATCCGATCGGTTACAGCGTTCGTTTACATTACTGTCAATTTTGATTGATTGGAAGACCCACTCTTGTTTTTAGTGGTTGCCCCTCCTCCGGGACAACCGGCTGTCAACGGGCGACTTCAATCTTCCAATATGTCTCGATCGTCTTCCCTCCAGCTATGGGTACCTCTCACCGGATGTCGCTTTACCAAATGTTCGGTGGCTTGATGGCCACAAACCAGTGTTTAATGTGAGCATCAGGGCTATCAGCACCGTTCACCCTCAGGTTAGCTGGATTCTCACAACTTTCTGATCAGTATGTTGAAGTCTAATTGCTGGCTATGACTCGTATTTTAAGGATGAACATCTCGAGAGATTTCTCGTCGCTGTCAATTCTTTATCATCCACGGATAGGAGGAAGCCACCAGCAAGTGAAACGGCGCTAATTATAGCGGCGCAGGTTTGAACCGTTTTGGGTTTTTTGACGTTCTCTATTCTATAATTACCTTATATGGACATATGTAGTTCCTNCGGCGCAGGTTTGAACCGTTTTGGGTTTTTTGACGTTCTCTATTCTATAATTACCTTATATGGACATATGTAGTTCCTGTAACTTTCTTATATAGTGCTGAATTTTATTTATACGTTTTATCATTTCCATAGTTGTTAATAGTCTTCGTGCCAGCCTAAACATAGCAGTTCCTCTTGTTCAACTAGCTGCCTCAAGAGTTATATTGAAACCTAAGTAATACTCTGTACAATCTCCTTCAGAGCGTCATCAAAGCACGTCCTGAACCGATGGTTGCTTTTATGTATAATGTGCTGGACAAGCTGATTGCTCTGATTGCGAATCGTCCTTATTCGGGTAATTAGTTGCTTTGCAGTAGTAGTATTCGGATGAGTAATCCTTTTTTAGATGCATTATCTAGCGCGTGCTTTGAGACTTTGGGACAGTTGGTGAAGATCTGTACAATGTTGCTCGACTCCTGCTTGGATATGCATGGTCGGAGTGCTCTGTTGACATCTTATATTCACTATTACAAAATTGCCATGAAAGGTTTGTTTCTAATAGTTATCAGCTCAGCTTTTTTACTGTTCGATCGATTTTACATTAGCCTTATTACTTGTTTGAATTCTTTCATCAATTCCTATGTGGACAGGGTNTGTTCGATCGATTTTACATTAGCCTTATTACTTGTTTGAATTCTTTCATCAATTCCTATGTGGACAGGGTCACTGTAGAGCTATTATAAGCTTTTGATTATTAATAGCCATGTAGGGTATTAACCAACTTTTAGAACAAGACAATTAGAAATTTCCATTTGAAAAAACGTAGCGTTATGCATTTCTTCGGTGACATTTCACAAAAAACATCCTTAAAATTTTGAAGAGTCCAAAGCAAGATCGCAGTTGTGCAAGGATATGGCTGCCGAGAAGAACAAGCCTGGTTCTCCGGAGACGCAGAAGCTCTATCACATTATTGGTTCGTTTCGCTTTCATTGGTTGGGGACTCGTTCTTCAGTCATTTCATTTTCATTCATTAGTTCCCATAGCTATTTTCTTGCAGAAGATGTGGAAAAATTGAGTGCGCATCATCAACGCGTCCCCGCTGAAGCGGTGCCAAGCACGTCCAATAAAGCTGTGCATGAGGAATTGGCCGAGCAATGGGTTCGCAGTGGCGGTTGTGCTAGAGAGATGGCTTTTCTGAACGCGTGGTTCTTCCTGGAACTGATGGCATGTTTTTAGAATCTTTACAGTTTCCCATCTCCTCCCAAGTTACTCAATACCGGTTTTCAGATAAAGTCTATGGCGGAGTACCTTTCGATGACCGGGAGATTATACCTGACACGGCGTTCACGATTTAGTGAGCGCTTCGTGAAAGCGCTTGACTCGTTATCGTGTGCGACAATCGCCGAGGTGGTTACCCGTCTTAACAAAGATCCACGTCAGGCGGTTGCCATCGCTAATAGCTGGGCCTTTTTTGTGAGGTACGAATTCCAAAAATTTTTCGAGGGGATTTCTGGCCGAAGAAATTACTTTTATTACGTTTACACATATTCTGAGAAGAAGATGTAAGAAGTCAGTGAAAGCTTGAGATTTTATATTCTCATTTTACTCTCAGTTGAAACATCTGCAAGTTGTTGCCAATCAGTCACCATCCTTCTAGTGATGCTCTGTTTATTATATTTACTCAAAAATTCAACTTCAGTATAAGTCGTTTTTGATAATCCGCAGATCTACCGGGATGTTCGTTGCTTTCCTCGTTTGTATATCAGGATTTTCGAAGCATGAGACTGTTTGTTTTGTCTTCCGGAACTTGAAAAACGCGTTGTTTCTTCTTGGACGTCTTTTTTTTGAGAGCTGCCCAAGCAGTTACTGGTATTCAAATATAATGCGAAATCAATCGTGAAGAAGAAAAGAACGTTACATATGGAAGTTCAATTGCTCCACTTTGTTTTTAAGAGGGCTAGGTAGGGGTGTCAGCAACGGGTGAGCTAAGTGACACATTTTTACGATTGCTCGTAAACATGTTGTCTCAAATGATGACTTGTTTATTGATATGGGAACTAGTTTTTGTATAAACAGTATCGGAAGATTCTCCGCAGTGTCTCACATTCTTTTTTTTTAAATAAAATCTTTTTCTACGCTTGAAGTATACTCTCTGTACATTTCAGTTTTGAGTATTTTGGTCATTTTCAGGGATGCCTTCTCTCTCATGGATCGTAGCTATGTTATGGGACTTGTGCGTGACTTCAACAGGGACATTTCTCACAGGATAAGGTATTAATGAAGTCAAATTGTTCTTTAAGTGTGTCATTCTGTTATTATCCTCTTTATAGCTGCATTGGAGAGCCAGCGGCAACGACATTGATGTTGTTGAAGTTGGATTTTGTGAGGATTGTCAGCTCGCATGAGCATTTTGTCATTCTGAATCTCCCATTTGGTCCGCCTCATAGTGTTCCGACGTCTACGTCGTCTTCATCGATCTGTATCTCAACCGGCACTGGAAGTTCCGTAACTCAGATGGCATTGAGCCCCGAGTCTGTTAGTATTTCGAGCAGGTGAGGTAGTTTAATGTAACTCGAATTTTTCTGTTAGTCTCATGAGTATCAATAAAAAATTAACTTTTCTATGAGTTTCTTGTTAATAAAGTAATCCTTCGCTTTTATTGTAGGTTCTATTGACCTAACTTATTTCTTACCCTTTGCAGTTGGGCAAGGAAAGCAGTCACGAATTTCTCCTTTCCAAAAATTCTGAAAACTGCTGTAGATAACCGATTCTCAAGGGTTATTTTTCATAAAGTTCTCGTAGTTGCTTCCGTGATAACAATCTTGACTTTTTTACTTCTAAAAAATTGTTATCAGACTTTGCAACGACTTTTCTGGTTTTGCAAGTTTTCATCTTTCATGTTCATTTTAGATCGACAACTACCACATTAGATTCGTGGGGATCGTTAGGATCGGGCGAGCTGTCATATGAATTTCGCCGCTGTCATTACCTTGTTGGACTCGCTTTAGCTGATCTCGCTGCTGTTCTAGACTCATCAAATAGTTCAGTATTACATGCAAGGTAAGTGGTACTAACTTATTCATGCTTAATTCGAGTTTTCTGTAGACCTTTTGCTTTTCGTACAGATTTTCTATGCTAATTTCTTCTTTGCAATTGCAGAGCTATTGGTCTCATTCATAATCTCTTATCTTCTCATGAAGCTGACAGTCGACTGACCGATCCAACTATTCGAGCTCGAGTCGCGGGCCTCTACTTACCCTTAGTGACTATTGTTCTTGATGTAGCCGGACAGATCCATGACCCCTTTGCGAACTCTCCTACCGGTACAAGGTAATTTCTCAAAGTGGTATTCCGAGCAAACTAAATTTCTTGGTTACTAAAATCTGTGTTTTAGCCGCTTCTCGAGGGAAGATAGAAATGGCACATCCACTTCACCAGGAGTAAATCCAAAAGTGGCTCTTGCTATAGCTGGTATCGGTTCTGCACCTTCTCCACCACGAACACCGACCGAGCTGAATAATAACAGACCAGAAAAGAGCAAGGCCATGCTCAACCTCGAATTATCGAGACAGGTCAGGGCAAATTAATTTCGGAATGCGTTTTTTAGTAATTTTTTCATGGAGTATTTTCCTTTCAGTTGCTAGCATGTTTTTGCTGGGTTCTCAAGAACGTGGAAGGCACATCGCTACGCCATTGGGTTCGAGAACTTCCTCCAACTAGACTCTCTCAACTGCTTAATATTCTTCAGCTTTGTGTTTCGTGTTTCGAGTATAAAGGAGGAGCGACAATGGTTTGTTCGTTATTTTATATAGCTGATCAAAGTTTTGAGTCACTTTTCTGTTTTTCAGTCGCATGCCGAGAACGGTCACGATCTGGATGAGACTCTAACAGAATGCGTCGTAACGCGACGTGACGGAGTGAGGTGGAGGATAGGGCCTCCTTCATCCGGGGAGGCTGACTCACGCAGAACGAGCTCGTTATGTATGCTCCTTTCCTCTACTTCATCGCCGCTTATTTTCATCTTCTTCCCGTCGTATCACCTCGATCGTGAATATGGTATCCATTTCAGTGTGTGAGGATGACGTCCTGCTGGAAGCGGTACTATGCACAGAAGTGATGTTGTGTGTTTTGGATACGTTGGAGACCATTATTCGAGTGATTTCCATGCCAGGCAGTGATCACTTGAATTTTGCACTACCAATGATACTGCGTGGAATAGTGAGTTTCTTTTCGAACAATGTATTTCATGTTTTACTCTGAACATTACTGTCCGAATCCTTCAGTTTGGTCCCGTGCTTAATTTTTGCTCAGAAAAAGCTCTGATGTGCGTCTTTAGAGTGGCTTATTGAGGTTTCGGGAAAGTTTGTGAGTATAAAAATAATGAAGCCGACCTTTTCTTTGTGGTGCCGGTCAGTTCTAATGGAGTGGTAATGCTTAATGGGTTTAGCGGGGCTAACGATGTCTGTTTCTTCAGTTTCGAGGTATTGCTTTCGAAAACACATGTCATCGTTCATTTTTAGTTGCACATGTTGTCCTGCAACCAGTCTGTCCAAGCGTTGGAATGTATTTTTGTCAGCCAGAGGACAGTTGTCAAAAAATTCCCCGACATGATTTTTGAGCAGGTCTGCTTCCGTTTTTTTTTTTCGTTGTTTTACACTTATATCGAATTTCCGAATTGTTAGGAAGCAGAACAGTGTGGAGAACTGTGCTTGCAACTTCTGCGACATTGTGCCTCCCGGTTACCAGCTGTTCGAACACAGGTAGTTTTTGACAGTGTACATACTTTTTTCGTCTCAAGTCATAATGATTTACAGGCTGCCGCTAGCTTGTACCTGCTGATGAGGGAAAGTTTCGAGAGCGGAAGCAGTTTGGCAAGAGTCAAAATGCAAATTACAATGTCTTTATCAACGTTGGTGTCAAATGCAACTAGAGAGGGAGTGTGGTTGAATGAAGACTGCCTAAGGAGGAGTCTCAAGGTTTGTTCTCATCTGCATGTTTGTTGATTTGTTGTCACTGTTTCTTTCGATCTGCTACTGAATATCAACGTGCATGAGAATTATTCATGGTGTTGATTTCTGCATGTAATTGATTTGGTTTTTCTGAACTTTTCTGATCTATTTCTTGATTTTTTCACTTGAAACAAGAACTTCTTCGGAACTAGGTTTGGTTTTAAATTTAGACAGTGCTCACCTATTCTGAGACCGATGCGAACACTGACCCTCATACACGCGCCAATACTAGCTTCTCAGAACAGGTACTCACGACGCAGTTTTTTTTTTTCGGAATGGCCTGCTTCATTGTAAACCTGGAGCACACCTGAATTTCAGGTCAAAGATCTCGTTTGTAATATTCATATGATACTCTCTGATACAGTGAAGCTCAAGGAGTTTGCGAATGACTTTGAGATGACCATCGATCTCATGTACCGTGTTGCTAAAGGATATCAAACTAATCCTGACCTTCGGTTTGTTGCGCTATCGTCTAGTCACGTTTCATTCATGTTTTGAAGGAATTCCTGCATTTCTTCTGTTTTTGTAATCTGTGAGATGTTAGACAATTTGGAATGAATGATACCGTATTTTAATAGAAACTATTAAATGCGTCATCTTAAGGTTAACATGGTTGCTCAATATGGCGTCTCGTCATGCCGATCGAGAGCTCTACTGTGAAGCAGGACAGTGCATGCTTCATGCAGCAGCCTTAGCTGCGGAGTACATAGGTCCGGTTTTTGTTAGTGTTTTGGCATGAATATATCAAAAAGTGGTGTTTATATTTGTTCAACAACTATCATTTTTAGCCATGACAACTTCTGATGAGTACATGCCACGAGGAGCGGTTGATTTTGAGCATATCAGTGACAACATTCGAGAAGAGAGAGCCGTGAGCGACGACGTACTGAGGTGGGTGTTTAATTCTATCAAAACACCAGTATTGTTTGTTGTGGTGCGTTTTTGATCAAACAATACGCTTTTCAGTCCTGATGTGGAAGGAATCTGTGAATCACGGCACTTCACAGCAGCTGGACTTGTTATTCTAGTTGAAAAATGTGCCGCGTACTTTGAAAAGGCTCACATGTACGAAATGATGCCAGATGTATTCCGCGTCAGTTGCTTTTTTCCCTTTAATTTGATAAACTTTCCGTAATAATGAGAATCAGATCTGGGATTCTAACTGATCTTCAGCGTTGTTCTATTTCTTGGCCCTTTTATGGCGAAAGTGACCCTTTATTTTAGATTCGTTCACCGCTTTTCCACCGGAACTCGATAGATTTCCTATTCATCTCTTTACCAATAATCCCTTCAAGCTAAATATTGGTGGCTGCCATAGCGTGTTGAGGTTTTGAGCATGTTCCGGGGTATGTTGTTGGGATTATGCTGCCAGCTTCCCTAGTTCCTATAAGCCCCATGAAAAAGTGTTATCTCTGCAAAAAGAGCTTTCAAATGAGTTCCTAACTTCGTATGGCATGTTTTGATGGGCTATTACATTAAATTGATCATTTTAGATATTGATGCAGCAGTGCTTTCTATAGTTATTTTAACTTCTTTTTTAAAATGCTTTTATTATACTTGTTCTGCTTCTCATTATGCATGTATTATTCTCAACCGAACCGTCTGACTTCTCCTTCTTTGGACGACGCCTAGCCTCCTAGCGTTGGTAAACAGTGTTGATTGTAGATTGTCGAACCAATTATACGTGAGTGGCGCGACTACCGCCGGTTGTCAACAATTTATGCTCGTCTAAGCGACGCTCTCGCACGTATTGAGCCAACAATTCCTGTCCTGGAAGATGCGGCTGATATATGGACGTCACCGCTAATGAAGTATGTTTATCATAACTGGCAACTTGCCTTAGTTGTGTTTTGCTGATCATTTCATTTATTTAGTCCTATAATCAACTCCTGCAAATTCTATAAATGATCCAAAATNTTTGCTGATCATTTCATTTATTTAGTCCTATAATCAACTCCTGCAAATTCTATAAATGATCCAAAATAAATAGGGGAATTGAGTGTATCCATTCCTGAAATGAGTCGGAATGTTCCCTTGGTGATGGAGCGAACTACTCATGGGGATCTGAAAGCTGTTCGCGTTCACAATCAATTCGAATTTTAGTGCCGATAAGCGGTGTTTTGGGACGTACTTTCGTGTTGGCTTTTATGGTTCCCGTTTTGGAGATCTCGATGGCGAGGAATTTGTTTACAAGGTGAGTTCTATAAACTTTCTAATCACGAAAAACAAAAAGTGTAAATTCTGAGCTTACTCTTAAGGAACCACCTTTCACGAAGCTGTCCGAAATCAGTCATCGTCTGGAATCGTTCTACACAGATCGTTTCGGTAAAGATATCGTGGAGGTCATAAAGGATTCCAATAACGTGAGTGCTCCATCGTTTATAGGAGTCGAGATAAGGACCTTTGAATAATATATAATGAAACTTACAGGTGGTTCGAACATCGCTCCAAGCATCGAAAGCCTATCTACAGATAACATATTTGGAGCCGTATTTCGAGAAGTGGGAGAGGAGGCGAAGGCCGACACCTTTCGAGCGCAGCCACAAACTCAAGAGGTGTGGCCATGTATTCTTTTAATTGATGGTTTACGTCATTTTTTTCTCTGGGAGACAGGGTGTTTTTGGGAAATCCTCGGTTTCACATGGAAATGACGTGGCCCATAAGTGCGGTAAAAAAAAAA